AGTTTGATTAACACTGTTAATATTTTATATTTTCAGTAAGATTAAGTAATAATTGTTACCCTAAAGTTTAAGTTTCCAGTTTCTAGACTAGGTTATTGACTAGTGATTGTGTGTTATATTGATGAAAACTGTTAGACTTTCATATTTTCAGAACAGCTGATAACCTTAACCATAGAGTATAATCTTAGTTTCTGGAGTAGGTTACTGTCTGTACACTGGTGTTTCTTGTGGGTGAAAAATTAACATGCGACATAACATTAAAGGACAACATTGGGCCTTTTGGTCCATCAAGGCCATCCTATCCACTAAAGTAAACTAAGCATTAAAAAACTCAAACCCAGCCTTTATCATTCAAATATTTATCGAACCCATTCTTAACTCTTCTGCTACGGCCATGTTTTTCTGTTTATTTCACAAAGTTTTAGTGAGTTAAATACAAAATTAAATTAAGAAGTTTACATGGAAATAAGTTTGATTAGTTTCAAGTGTCCTCTTTAGTATAACTTTTCTTTGTTAGAGAAACACAGTTTATTTTATAATAGTCGTTCCAAGTCCCTTGAGGGCATATAATGTCAGTAAGGGCTTAGTTTATAGTGACCTTCTGAGATGTTAAAGTTTGACAATTTTTAAACTAATGAACTTTATACAATTCTTTTGACATAATTTCTAGTTTTATGTATCATATTGGCTGATTTCTAGTTAATTATATGATCAAGATTTCTCATGTGAAGAAAAATATCATTATTTGTTTGACCATTTTGAACATCTATTTTATGTTCTGTGAGACTTGTATCCCGTTTCACCAACGTAAAGTTTGTCACAAGACAACGCGGGACCATATAAACACCTTGTTCTTTATTTTGAGGTGTAGGGTAGGAAGTTCTTAGTGATGTTTGGATATTTATAAACAACTTATAAATTATTGTTTTTCAGACATTTCTCTAGAGTCACAATATTAGAACTGTAGCTAACGCCGAGTATTTTCTTATGTAGATGATGTTTGTTTTCATCAAGAGTCGTATGATGACATATTCTGAAGGTTCTTAGAAACATGGAAGTCATAATAGATGTTTTCACTAGTTTTATGGTGACAGGAAAAAAAGTGAATATATCTTAAAGTTTCTGTTGATTTTCTACAGATTGAGGAGAGAGGACTTGTTATTTGTCTAGATATAGGAATGTCTAAAAATGGGAGTGAATTGTTTGTTTCCCAATCCACTTTATCCTCTAGAAAAAGACTTTAAAATCATTTCTGTTATTTGGCCAAACAAAAAATATGTCATCAACGTATGGGAACCAAGGGATTTTCTTTGAATTCAGATCCACTATTGGAATTAATTCACGTTCAAAATACTCCATGACGATGTAACATAAAACGGGTTTCCTATAGCCATTCCGTATTTCTGTCTGTGATATTGTCTCATACATGTAAATACATTATCATCAACACCTACTTCCACAAGGAAGATGAAAGTGTGAACCGGTACAGGAAGTGGAATGTTAAGATTATTTTAAGAAAGATTAATGTTTATATTTGTAAACAAAGAATCAACATTGACTGTTTTATCTTCATTTATGTTAGACTTTATTGTCCAAATCTATGTTATTTAGAATGTGTGATGTTGAGAACTTGTATAGAGCAGGAGATAGGTGTTGTGTCAGCCACTTGGATAAGTACCTGATCCTATTTGGATATTATAGGTCTAAGTGGGCAGTCATCTTTGTGGGTTTTAAATATTCCATACTTGTATGACAGAGAAGGATTGATCCCTTTAAAGATTGTTTAAAATATCTGGATAATCAGATAAATGTTTTTGGAGAGACTTGTTTAAATCAGACGTTTTCTTGGGTAATGGTTAGTCCTGAGTTTTTGTTTTCATCGTACATTAAACTGTGTAGTTTTTCATTATAACTAGATTTATCAAACTTTATTGTACATAATCAGAATTGGACCGATTGTGTCATCCAATAATTGGCAGTCTGTGATTTCTGATTGGTAAAACAGTAATATTATGTTTTTTATTTTTGGTTAGTGCAATCTACAAAGTTGGATTCAGAAGTGTTTGTCTTAACTTGTACAAACAATGTATATACAGAAAGGTTGATTCTCCAAACAACTTACAATTTTACTTGCCTGTTTTTGGAAAGTGTTGACAAAAAATAACTTGTATGTACATCCTTCAAATCTGTGAGTCTTGATGCAGGCTTAGTGTCATATATATAATGTTAAAGTAACATTCTGATTGAAAACATTAGTCATCTTTATAAAAGTTCAAATAATCTCTCTATATTTTAAATTTTATACATCAATTCCATTACAGTGATACAAAAAGTTTGAACATTGAACAAAGTGGTGAAATTCTTATTAATGAATACTTTGTTTACTTTTAATACACGGGCATTCATAGTGACGACATTTATGGATTGACTGACGAGTGTTCGTAAACTTGCGAAG